AGCTCGACAGCTGCTGGAGTTTATTGTAACAAACTCAAACACCGAACACATTTCATCTCAAGCGTGTCAGTGTGACTGAGCTCCTGGATGTTAGATTAACCTGCAGTCGTCGTCGGAGAGGAGCAGGCCTCCATCAGCCCGAGTGTCAGGCTTCATCTGATCCAGCACTCACTCCAGCAACACCTTCTGAACACCGCTCAGGCCAGACATCACCGGACTGCTACACGAGTGCTTCTTTAAACCCACGCACACTTACACGCATCCCTCAGACACGCTCCACGCAGGTTTAATCGGACCGCTTCCACTCACGGTAGAGACCACACCAACACACACCTCTGGACAATCACTTTATTAAACCGCTGTACAAAACCAACCTGACATCCTCTTAAAACTATTTACAAAGATTTACACCAAGTAGTCGAGCATGAATGAAACGCGTGAACTGAATAAAGAGATCAATCCTCCTCCTCGTCGTCGATGATGGGTCTGGACCTGAAACACAGAGAACACGGCTCAGTCCCGCTCAGGCCCTGCAGACAGGAAGAGGAAGTGCTCCGAGCACTCACTTCCTGGGCGCTTTAGCCACGCCGCTGCCGCCGGCCTCCTCCTCCTCCTCCTCCTCAGACTCGGGATGAAGGTTCTCCTTCTCTGGCTTCCGGCTGGGGCCGCCGAAGAAGTCTCCGATGCCCTTCTGCCACGTGGGTGTGGGCCGCGGACACACGGGGTTCCCGCCCGCGTATTTACCTTTAGCTGAGCAAGACATGCATTAATGCCAACATCTGACACGGAGCAGGCCCGAAACACTGGCTTTACTGAAGCTAACACACAGCTACTGACAGGAACACTTACGCAACAGACAATCAGTATTAAATGCACGACTCCTACACACTACTCATCCCCTCACACATTGACACAAGCTGTATGTAAGAACACCGCTGAGGTGAGCCAGTGATTAAGAAGCGTCCTCAAACACAGCTTCACCAGCAGACTCCTCTAAACTCCGGAAGTGACGCAAGACGCCAGAACGCGTCTCATTTGCGTGCGCGCACTCACCTGGCGTGCCCGACTGCGCGCCGCTGCTGTGCGCGTTCACGGAACCGGAAGCGCCGAGGGACTTCCGGGGCGCAGAGGCGGCAACAGCTGAAACAAAAGCACAGAAAAGTATTAACATTTAATAAACACCGCACAACACGAGGCGCGCCGTCAGGAACAAGGCGGTTCCGCTTCCGGCGCTTCGTCGCGACGCGGATGAATGTGAAAGTGGCGCCATTTCATTCAGTCCGAATTAAACCCCTTTAAAAGCAAAGCTCGCTGGCATTCACTAGCTTTAACGGTCAAACTATAACGAGGACACGACTCAGCTGCACGAACACATTTAATGACTCGTCCGTGTCGCATTAGCAGTAGCATCGGTGCTCGCCGCTCACGGGTATAAACGCGCTTTCCCTCATGAAGCAGCTGTGCGGGGATCACACTCTCTCTCCCTCTCACACACACACACTCACACTCACACACACACACACACACACACACACAGAAGAGCGAGCGGAGCTCCGGAGCTGCTGCTAACACTCACCGCATCGACAGAAAGCCGAGCGGGCGGGCTCTAGCGCGCGGGAACGGCACGGCTATCGCAGGAGCTGCTCCTTCGGCGGGCTCGTGGGGTTCTCTCACCTTTCCTGTACGCGCCGGGGACGCCGTCAGCTTTAGTTCGCACCATCGCGCGGTTTCTGCGGATGAACGCCGGACAGCACCGCTCGCCTCGGCAGAACTGCAGAAATAAAGCGGGCGACTCCCGCGTCTTTTTAAAAAAGCTGCCCGGTCGCGTGACGTCACGGAGCGCCAGCCAATAGGTGGGCTACGCCGCTCCCATGGTAACGGCAGTGTCTCGGGGTTAGGGCGCGAGTTACTCGCCGATGACGTAACAAGGCGGTTCCGCTTCCGGCGCTTCGTCGCGACGCGGATGAATGTGAAAGTGGCGCCATTTCATTCAGTCAGAATTAAACCCCTTTAAAAGCAAAGCTCGCTGGCATTCACTAGCTTTAACGGTCAAACTATAACGAGGACACGACTCAGCTGCACGAACACATTTAATGACTCGTCCGTGTCGCATTAGCAGTAGCATCGGTGTCCGCCGCTCACGGGTATAAACGCGCTTTACCTCATGAAGCAGCTGTGCGGGGATCACACTCTCTCTCTCTCACACACACACACACACACACACACACAGAAGAGCGAGCGGAGCTCCGGAGCTGCTGCTAACACTCACCGCATCGACAGAAAGCCGAGCGGGCGGGCTCTAGCGCGCGGTAACGGCACGGCTATCGCAGGAGCTGCTCCTTCGGCGGGCTCGTGGGGTTCTCTCACCTTTCCTGTACGCGCCGGGGACGCCGTCAGCTTTAGTTCGCACCATCGCGCGGTTTCTGCGGATGAACGCCGGACAGCACCGCTCGCCTCGGCAGAACTGCAGAAATAAAGCGGGCGACTCCCGCGTCTTTTTAAAAAAGCTGCCCGGTCGCGTGACGTCACGGAGCGCCAGCCAATAGGTGGGCTACGCCGCTCCCATGGTAACGGCAGTGTCTCGGGGTTAGGGCGCGAGTTACTCGCCGATGACGTCACGCGCGGAAACGGCGGCAAAACGGCGCGAGGCTTAAGCAGCTGTCCACAGACCTGCACAAGAGCATTTATTACAGCCGCTGACCCGTGAGTACTCACTAGCAGCTCGGCCTCAGGCCAGGCGTGTGTAGCGTTATTTCCCCCAAGTTCAGTTCTGCAGTCAAACATGGCCAGATAACACCAGCGGCTACTGTGAGCACGGCCAGAGGAAAGGGTTAGCACTCATTATGATTATTCTGAATATGTAGATCGGGTCAGCAGGCTAACTGTGTTGACCTCGTGTGTATTCTGAACTGCTTACACGTGAATCGTGCTGTTCGTTCTGGATATGAGAGGATCTGTACATCTACAGCATGTGTTTTCATCTGTTAGTTGTCATATAGTTATGTGTGTGTGGGCGGGGTTTGAGAGGCGGACTCGTCTGGCTCTTGTCCAATCAGAGCCGGGGGGCGTGTCTACACCGGCTCCGCTGCTGAGTGTGAAGACTGCAGCAGCACAAGCTCGTCTGTTAGATGAGGCATTAATTCAGAAACTACTGATTATGAAGGTCCTGAATATGTCATTTTATGACGTCACGTTTGTTTATAAGTTAACCAGTCTAGTTTGAAGAGTGATTGTGTGTGTGTGTGTGTGTGTGTGTGTGTGTGTGTGTGTGAGTGTGTGT